AAAAAGAAACCATGAAACAAGGAAAAAAAGTAGTAATAAAATAAAATATAATAAAATAAAAAATATTTGCAAAGTTAGTTATACTATTTATGTCTTTTTAAATAGAAGATTGAATCTCTATCTAGAGATTGCATTTATAATGTTTTGTGTTTCATTTCAGAACTTGCAAGAACAATCTCTCCTAAATGGGGAAGGTTAAAAAGAGGCCAGAATTGCTCCATTGTGGCAAATCGCGCAATATATTGCGCAATTTGATGCTGAGAGATTTCGGATTACACACAACTCATAAAACTAGTACACGTGAATTGGAGCCAATAGCTGAAGCAAACCTAGTGCTAAAAGATCATAAAGAATTGGTATGTATTTATATGACTATACATGTACTCATACAATTTTATTAGTGTTTATTTTTAGTTGATATCTCTAATTTATAAGAGTCAAAATGTACTTAATGCAACAGTAAATCTTGTCTGATAAAATAGACAGCAACAATAATAGTTCTTTATCAATTTTTAATGGCTAAGTTAATAATGATGTATCTAATGCTAAATATTATATAGCCCAAGAGAGATAATAAGTATTTTTTGTTTATTTATAGAAATGTAGTTTACCTGGTGTTCCTAGAGCCACATTTTTGATGGTTTTCAGTCCTGATGGGTAAGATACAAAAGCTAAATACAGTAACATACTTTATCATAATCATCGGAAGGTAATACTAAGGGAAGAAAAGGATATAATATGCACATAGTAATAGGTGGTAGTAATTTCTTTTCTTTTTTTTTTTTGTAATACAATATTGGGAATGTTATAAAAAATTATGAGATTATATACAAAAAAATAAAATTTAGGACTATGGTGGCATCTACACATGGGAATCACAATGTTTATATCACGGAAATTTCAACGGGAAGAAACATTAAAATTCTGTCTGGACATCCACGTACTCCGTGGTGCATAGCTTTCCATCCATCTTCCAATCAAATCTTAGCATCTGGCTGCTTGGGAGGTCAAGTTCGTGTGTGGGATTTAAGCGTGAGTACAGTTTTCTTTGAACTATGTAATATATTTTAATACTAAATTATAAAAGTATGGATCTAAAGATTTGTAATATGAGTTTGTTTGTGTAGGGTGGTAGCGAAATTTGGAATGCTGATAGTCATACCGTAATCGCTTCACTTGCATTCCATCCATTTGAAAGATTATTAGTTATAGCGACATACAATGAAATTCATTTCTGGGATTGGAGTAAATCTCAACCTTTCGCTGTAGCTGCTACAAAGACTGATAAGGAAAAAGTGAGGTATCTATTTCTTAAATGAGATTGTATAGAAGACTAGTACGATAGAAAAAAATATTGTGAGAATGGCACAATAAGAACAATTTATGCCTTTCTTAAAGTATTTTTTTTCTTAAGTGATCTAAGGAAAAAAACAACTGAAAAATGTAGGGAGAAAAAAAATTTGTATAAATAGACAAAGCGTGTTTCATCAATCAACTTACAATTTTGGTAGCAATATAGATTATTTTCTTTTCGCTACTTATATGCACATTACAATCTGCGATATTTATTTATTTTGTCAATATTCTCGTGTGCTTATCACTTTGGATGATATTGATATAGATAAAAAATATTACAAGTCAATTTTTATTATAGGTACTGTATGTGTTTCTAAATTCTTCGACTTATTTTAGATTATTTTATACAACTTAATATTTGATAGCTTTATAAAAATTACAGATATGTAGCTTTTGACAATTTAGGAAGAAAACTAATCACAGGAATTGCAAATACACCACAAGTTCAACCACAATGGGATCGGGCTCCTGTAGGACAATTACTTAGAACTAGTTTGGTGTAAGAACATTATGATTTTGTATATTATATATATTGCACATAAAAATAAATTTTAGATATAAGTCTGGTGTTGATCATACACATTGTGCTATCAGAACATGTTTTTTCATAGCTTTATTTAAAAATTTGGATGTTAAGATACTATATTAACTGAACAATGAATATTGTATCACATGTATGTATTATAACTTTCTTCCTTCCCAAAAAATAGGAATTTTAGGTATCAGCCGCGAGAAGGCTTTCCGGATGTTGAGCTTTCACCTTGGCACATGTGGAATCATAGCTCTATATACGGAAGAGGATCGACGGATAATCACACCCCAGATAGGGCTTCCCGGTATTTAAATTATACGATGCAAAATTAAATCGAGATTTGCCGGAGACTGTACGAAATTTGAATAGAAATCTTTTCAGTGCGTATCTGTTTATGCGCAGAGGTCACGAAATGTCTAGCTTCTCGCGATTTGCCAATCATCAACAGTTCAGGAACAGTACACGGCAGGAAGAGGCGCGGTTTCAACGGCGACGTAATCTATCCGAAGGTACAATGTCTATGTTACGATGGCCCTCGTGCCATCGTAGATGCAACGATAGACATCATGAGCTAGTACGACAACTTAGAACCGCTATATCGTTTCGTAACAATGCTCAATCTGCAAGTACTCCATCTGGTACTGTAACAATTGAGATTCGTCGTAATAGTTTTCTGCCTTACGATGTAGAACTGAATCAAACTAACGAAGCTACATCTTCACCGAATATCACGAGAAATCCTCCTCGCCCGCCCGGGAATCCGACGAATGCGGACAATGTCGAAAACAGATCAGCGGACGACAGCAACGACGACGATTTTCCGAATAGTTCAATGAGGAGTCGCGATCGAGAACCTAACGCGACAAATACTTCTCACCTCAGGGACACATTATACGAGCGATTGAACAACGTGTGGGACGAAAGAATGCGCGGAAGGAGTGTTCAAGATCCGGAAAGGAGGATCAATTTATGCTACAGAAATCTCGTTGATCAGTATGTGACGCTCGTAAGACGATACTTTGACATTTCCAGAAACAGAGATACGGTGAGCTATATATATATATATATATACATGTTATTGTCTAATTTTCCAATCATGGAAAATTTTTTTTCTGAGATGTAGCTTGTATTAAGAATGTATTAATTTTTCGTTTGAAGATCGATCGTGGCACAGACCCTATGGATATGCCAGAAACATCCGCAAATTCGGAAGAGTCTAATAATAACAGAAACGAATCATCGGCGGCGACTGAATCGTCTATACGAAGATTAAGAAATGAATTGAACTCCAGCGCCCAAGCGAATAATACGAATCTCGAGAGGCATTTACAACGATACCAGCGATTATTGATGGAACGTTGCGAGCAAGAGGAGATCGGAACCACCCTTCATAATTTAAGGGAGGCTCTGAATGCCGCTGCCGAGAATAATAGTTCGTGCTTGGTGCGATTGCAGAAATTGCGAGAGAGATTACAACGGCAAACAACAACTTTATTCGAGTATTCCAACAATCGTAATACTCGTCTCCAGTTACTTCGCAATGCTCTCAACGACGAGATCGAAGCGCTTAATAATATGGAGGCGCAATTTACTAATACAAGTTCCAGGATCGAACGATTGCGAGACGAATTCGCGATGTATGGTTTTCTGCCGCGAAATCGTCACATCGCGACTGATCCTTCGCAGGTGAATTTAAGCGATGCCGAATGGAGAGCACTTACGCAAAACGACGGACAATTACCTAGCACCAGTTCCGCATCATCAAGGATACACGAATCTGCTGTATTTCCTAGCACAAGTTATGTCGGAGAAAATGAAGAAAACGGCGCAATATGGCCCGAAAGTGCGAATAGTAGGGAGAACACGAATACATTGTCGAGAAATACGGGGAGAGCCATGAGAAGACGATTCGACGCCACAAACATAGAGGACGAACCGCCGAGGCGACGAAAGCGCAAATTAGGACCAATAATGTTACCATCCTATATCGGTAATATTTTTATATAAATAGAAATATGGATAAAATTCTTTAGAACAGACTTTTTAAATCTCGATATACTCGTATTATCAAAATTCGACAAAATATTTCGATTTACATATGCATACCTGTAATTTTATATACAAATTAATATAATATTTTCATACATTATAGATTATAAATTTATATTATTTTAGGAGATAGTTCATCTTCGAGCGACGAAAGCTATCCGCAAGCATCGACATCCCATAATGGTGCGTCTAATTTTACAGTTTCAAGTCATTCAGCGTTTCAGCCAAACGTACCTAAATCCACTACGCAACGAGCAAACTCGCAGAATCAAGAAGCGCCAGCTAGTTCTCCCAGATTAAATGAAAGTGACAGGAACAGATTCCCTGATAATTTAAATAACGAATCAGACGGAAATAATATTCAAAATAGAACATCAAGAAACATACAAAATTTGCAAGAAATGTCGAGATCTCAAGAATTCAGTAGTAGGCAAGGATAAATTTTCATATTTGATCATATATTATATATATTTTTTTTATTTTATAAGAAGACTTCTTTATTGCTGTATGTTTATTCGAAATTTTTAATATTTAGAAATACACTCAGGAAAATGCTGGATGCTCTCCAGCGAAATTTACACGCCGATCGGATAGAAAACAACAACACTGGGCAACAAGTATCTTTGGATGATTCGGAGAATGGATATTGGCTCCTTGAAGAGAACAGTAATTCGGATTCAAATTTGGACGATACAAATTCCAATAGCAACTCAAACTCTCGTCGATGGACCAGCCGATGGATACAGTTGGATAATTCGAGCAGAAACTCGGAATACACCAACGACTTACCAAACGAGCGAACTCAATCGAGATCTTTATCGGAAAATGGGGATCAGAATTTTAACGATAGACATAGAGATCAAAGAAATCACCTGTTATCGCCTGTATCTGCAAATCCTACTCGCTACGAACAACCGCCGTTGTTTCCGTTTAGAAGTTTGCGAGAAAACCAATCACAGAGAATGGAACAAAATCAAATACCCTCCGGCAACGGTTCTAACAGTGCTCACTCGCAAATGTCTAATTCAAACGTAGCGGATACAGTAGAATTAACGGAAAGCGTCAACGATCCTGTTACAGTAAGAATCACTGACGCAACTAATCGCGAGAGCAATCGATCGACGGGAATCGATAGGCAACAACAGCAGCAAAATCAGGATCAACGAAATATAGATGACGCAAATCTTGATTCTAGCGATATAGATCCAATAATACTCGGTGCCGGCAATATAGATCCGAGAGAAAGTTCACTAGGAGTTCGGCAAGGAATTCAATTGCTTAGTCGTCATATTGACAACATGCATCGTTTGTGCCGGTAAGTTTACGAAAGTACGACTCTTATTGGGGGATCTAGTAGATCAGCATTCGAAATTGGAGTGTGTCTTTTAAACGAAAACTTACAAATGAACATTTTAACAATAAACAACATAATAGTTACCTAAATGCTTTTCAGTTAGATTTTTCGTGGATTCTGATATATGTGATGATGTCAATAAAAAATATAACTGCAAAAACGCAATTTTCAGAAGAATTATTGCATGTTTTTTTTTTGTTTTTTTGTTTTGTTTTTTTGGAAGAGAGGAGGCGGTTTTTATTTATTAATTAAAATAATAATAAATATTAAACAAGCGAGTTAGAGTTAGAATATTCTTATGAAACATATTACCTAATATAAAATAGTATTAGAAAATAATTATATTTGAAAGTACAGTTACGACATATTTTTCATTGTTCTTGTTGATCCTTAGACGAAAATAACAATCTTTCTTAATTTTATTAACAGAGCGCGGTTAGAGATAGTTCAGTTGTGTCAAGTGCGCAAAATGTGGGAAGATCTACAACGACAAATACGATCGTTACACGTGACAGTTCGCATAGAAAGGCAGAACAGTGATCAAACTGAGGCGCAAAGAGACAATCCTGGTCCATCAACTTCGGCTGCGAGTTCATCGAACGAATCTGCAAAGAATTTTAAGAAAGCTCTTCTGGAGAATTATCAGAGAGAGAACAGCGAGAACGATCGCGACACGAGATCGTACATAGATCAGAATCAACCGTCAACTTCGAGGGGAATAACCGATCTCGATGAAAATTACGAGGATGAGCCCACGTTGTCCGTCAATCGTAACATCGAGGAGAGCACGACCAATATAAGTCTCTCGAATCTGTTGCCGAGTGACACCGAATTACGACGGATGCAGCGTCTCAAACTGAACGAGATGCTGGACGGCTTGTACGCACGGCTGACGTCACGCTGTCAGAATTGTGATTCTCGCGTCGCCAATGTCGCGCCGCGAGCGAAAAATGACGATCATACATATGCCAATTTAACATCCGACGGCGACGTGCAGTTACCCAGTATGTCCAGCGTTGTATCGAATATCGGAGCTAACTCGAATTTACCGGCCGTTACTGCGATAACGACAACAACAGAACCGTTACCAAGCATTTCGAGTTTCGGCAGTAGTATCGATCGCGCCAGTCCCAGCAGATCGACCCAAGTATCGGACACGAATGCTAATTACACCGCGATGGGCGAAGCAACCGCTAACAATAACAACAATAATGGCAGCAATGATGATATCACCGTCGATTCCCTTTTGCAAGATTCAGCGAACCAAGATGGAGCGAACTCAGCTTTTCCATCGTCGCTCGAATCATCTGCTAATAATTGTAATAGACAACGTAGTAAACAGACAACTCTCAGGTGCTTCTGAAGATATATAAATATGTTCTAAAGAAATATACAGCGTGTTTGGTTTTAAAAATATTAAAACAATTATATTTTTAGCTAGTAGAAACACAAAAGCAAACACACTATATATTATCTTTCTAAACCAATCACAATGTCTCTAATGATATATTTTGTTTTTCAGACGTTTAAAGTTGCATCGAGACAGACTCGTGAGACAAAATCTTAGAACTCAGTCCAATAATCCGTTTCGTCATTGCAAGATGAAGAATCTCAGAAGACCATGGATTTTACGTAGAAATACATTCCAGTGTAATAGCAGCAATAACAACGACTGTTTAGATGTGGATATAGATAGAACACGAAGCTCGAACACATCCGAGTATTTACAAAAGATGATTCTACGACTAGAAACGTTGGTCCGACAGCAGAGAGCCTTAGCTCGGAATAGCAATACCAATAGAGGATCTGACGGTGATAATCGTCGATCAGAAGCTAGTAGGGACAACGATAATCGAGAAATGGAAGAGATTCGTGAAGCTACAAGATTGAGAGCTAGGTGAAGAATAATAATATTAATTCCATCATATTATATTGTTAGTATTATATACATATAATATATATATATATGTATATACACACACAATATATAAAACATTAAATATTGAGCATAAACATGTTATATGGAAGAACCATGAATAATCAACATATATTAATATGAATATATATTGTTTCAGACAAGTCCTTGGCTTGATGGTGAGATCCCTGATCCAATTCTTCGAAGTAACAAGATCAGGAAATGGCTCCCAAAGCAATGTTCTCTATGAACAAATGTATAGTAAGTTTATTATATTATAAAAGATTATATGGTTATATATATATAAAACATTATAGTGTTAACATTATAGTTGTTAATATTGCAATTTGAAAAATAATAATTCTACATGAAAAAGTAAATTGAAAAAATTAAATAGGATAAGTGTTTAATAGATAAAATGTTTTTATATGTAGTTATAAAACCTCGAAGAAATTTCGAATATTTTTTGCTCTATCTTTGAGCTTAAATAAGCTTAAATTCGGATTTCTCGAAAACATGAAATTTTATATTGAAAACATTATATATTTCTACATTTTGAGATTCCTACTTTTTTTTTAGAACTGTATGTGCTGTTACATTTGGCGCTGGAACTAACAGACTTATTGCTAGCACAATTAGTGATAACAAGACGCGAACTGGAATCTAGTCAATATAGATCTTTCACTACCGATTTGTCGGTCGACAACCAGAATGAGGGAACGCGTAATAATAGCGTCGATAGTAGTCTGCAGACAGAGAATGATCGCGATAATGACATGCTGAGGCATATAAATCTGTATAGAGAGTGCGTCTCGTCGAATTTTCGCCCTATGCCCTGTACATCTAGCGTGGACTCCGTGGAGGATCTTTTCTCGATAAACAGAAATAGACGTGATCTTACCCAAGAAGTGAGGCAACAATTGATGCAAGTGTTTCGCCAGAGAAGACAAAACATTAATAATAATTCGTCCGAGAGCCAAAGTGATCCGGTAGTAGCTGTACCTAGCAGCGACAATAGCGATGATATCAATTACGACGATAACGCTCAAAGCGAAGATAATCGGCATTCGACTTCCGAGCACGCTTTGTCAGCAGAGGTGCAGAGTATCGTGGAAAGAATCCAGAGTAGCAGCTCAATTGACAATGATGAGGTCAGAACGGGAAATGAGAATCGAATGATCGATGCTGCACATCATTCGCGCGAATCGCGAAATTTGAACGACAGCTATCTAATTCGGAATTACAGAAATGCTACAGTATCCGAACCGGCAATGAGAAGACGCGCTGATGAATCGAGAAACTCTCAAGAAAGGAATACCGGTCATTCCAACGTAAGTTGGAGAAGTTATGTTTATTCGTCGGGAGACGAACAAAGCAACATCAGATCGCCGCAACAGAGACGTCGAACTCGACTCGTAGACACGACCACGGGTGTACTTCGACGAGAATTCAACGTGCCCGAATTGCAAGTGAACAGCGTACCGGTGAATGATTTCGACAATTTATCCGGTAATCCTCGAAGAAGACACAACACACCGCCGATTCTGCAGTCGCATATGATTCCTCCATACTTAATCAATAATTTCCTCTACAACAATAATGACACCAGAAACAATGATCGGACAAACGAATCGACAGTACAATCTGGACCAGGTTGGGCTGGATTGTCGAACAATAGCAGAAATAGGGTATAGTACATTAAATTCTGGTTTTATACATTTATGTGATCTTGGTGGATTATTTATGTAGAGTCGATTATTATACGACGATTAATTTCATATTTTTTTCATAATGTCATGAATTTTTAATAATCCATAAATATAATGTATGATTTACAAAACACGTCCATTATTATAAATCACTTTGTTGTCTTGACTATCTTTGAATTAATGAATGTGGTTCAATCATTGCGAAAAAGATAAGATTCTTTCTATATATTATTAACTGTAAAATCTTTTAGGTATTGGCGTTTTGGCGCAATCGATTTGGGCCTGTTTTTATACCTCGTTATTCCGAACTCACGGCTAATGGAGGATCACGGATTGGAGAAGGTACTAGTGGCAATCCTGGGGGTGGCGGTGGTGGCGGCGACGATGGAACTGGTGGTGGAGGAACAGGGGGAAGAGAAGGAGAGGGAGGACAAGATCCTGCAAACGATAACGAATATTTGGACATTGGTAATTTATTCCGTTTCTTTCACTAAAGTAGACATGTGTCGATATACAAAGTAATCCCTTATTGGTACAATTAGAAAGAGAATAATCTCATGTAAGAAAAATATAGATGAAAAATACAAAGAGAGTAATATTTTCTTATGTAAAGATTTATTTTTAATTAATCAAACGTATGGAATTAAAAAATTGGAAAATTAATAATATTCTTTTTCTATTTTAAGCCTGTGCATAACTTTGACATCGATGCTATGCTATAGAACTATAATCTATCCATTTCAACAATGTCAGAATAAGAGAACAGAAATATAATATTCTTCATTAAGAAATTAAAGATAATTAATGCCAGAAATAGCATTTTATGATACACAAATAATGTGTTTGCAACAAACTTTAAATATTTTCTGTTATTTTTTAAGATGCTAAGTCTTTTAATCATATATTTTGAAATTAGCATTGAACAATTTTTATGTTAATGCACGTTATCAAAAAGTATTAATTATCCAATTTCTCAAAATAATTTTCTAAAAAACAAAAACTCATATGGAAAAAAATTGTATTCTACATTTTCTTGGCATCTTATTTTTTTATGTGAAGTCACTACCAGTTAGGAATCATTCTATTATCTAAAAACTATAAAAAGGATCTTTGAATAAACATATATGTATAAATGCAACATATGAAGATATGCACAAATTATTTCTTAGAACATATACCAGTGGGCATGCCGTTCAATTCAGCGTTGGAAGTGCAGAGTTATCGAGTACAAGCCTGGGATTTTTCTAATGGTGATATACCTGATATTACGGACCGTGAGTAAAATAGCATCGAAAATATAAATTATTACACTTTTTCTGTATTTCATTATATGTCATTGAGCTAATACGATTTTTCAGCTGACAAAAACGTCGTGGTGCGCGAGTGTAGAATTCATAATGATGCCTGTATTGATATATCTGCAGATGGAAAGTTGCTAGCGACTCTTTTGCCATCTGGTCGTATAAATGTGACTACCATGTTAGGTAAATACATATTAATTTATTTTAGTAATGGGATTGGAAAACTAATCATTTTACTCCAAAATGCTTATTTTTTTATTTTAAATTTAAATAATTTAGATTAATATTTTATAAATTGTTTAATATTGTCAAAGATAAAAAGATTTTATATTCTTTATTGGAAAAAATACTAAAAAATATTTGAAACTTTCTGTTGAACAAATCTGTAAAATATATCAAAATTTTTTCTATTTTCTTAAATATAATATTGTTTTTTTTATGTAAAGCTGTGCTGTTAAAATAAGTTCATCTATTTATAATGTAATCATTGAAAGTTATGCACACGAGCATAAAATTAAAGAAAATATATTATTATTCTAATCTTTAAAATCAATTTTCTCAAAAGCAAAGTTTTATACAAAAGATTTTATTTTATAGTTTTGAGTATCATTTTCATATAGAATCATTCTCTTCCTGCCATATCAGTAATTCTATTTTACTAAAATTTAGTTATAATATTATACACAACACACGCGCGCACGCACACACACACACACATTTATTTATTTTTCGATACAAGTGTGTAACACAATATAGAGATTTCAAAATACTAACATTTTTTTTCAGCAAATGCGTACGGCTTAGTGCTTTTTTTCATCTTAAAGAGATAATCTTTTTTTTATTTTTATATCGCATCTTTTTCACTCCAATAACACCGTGCAGGAAAATATTTTTAAATGGTAACTTTTCAAAGGTTATACTATTCTAGTATTTTATACCAGAATAGTACAATAAATACTGAACATATTTCTTTCTTTTCTATATTTCTGTGCAACTTTTTATATTATGCACAAACTAAACAAAATAAACTAAAATTTTTTGTTAAAATTATTTTGTTAAAAGATAAGATTAAGCATGGTTTATTGCGTTCGACTTAGGTATTTACAGCCTGCAATGGGAAACACTGGGAGAAAGGATTTATTCGACGAAAATTGATCAAACGGTAGTATCTGTCTCGATGTCACCAACGCAACAGCATCTCTTAGTAGGTTTGTCACGCAGGGTTCATATCCCTGCCAGGCCGTTTCCGATGGCTCTAATCTATAAGTTAAAGGAAAAACAGCCTGACGACGAGAAAAATGTTTCATCGACGGATTCGACTGTCGAATCTGCATACGATTCCTCTGACGAGATTCTCGACGATAATATTTCTACGAATAATACCCCCCGACGAAACAACAACAATGTTACACCCAGCGGTTACAGGCCGCACGTTCAAGACTGGCGAATACGAATGAGAACCGAACTGGACATTAAACGTAACAGAGAAAGTATGGTACTTATTCGGGAATTGTTGCAAAGCAGCCGGGAAACCTCTGGCTACATCAGTCTAAACTGCATTAGATGGGCACCGCAGCCGGGTCAAGGGATGATCTATGCCACAAGTAGCGGACAGCTAAATATTTTACAATGATTCCGTGTGCGCTCATAGTAGACAGAGACGAAAGTAAACGTTCTCTTCGTATTATAACGATGCTTACCATAAATGTCATACACGTAAGACATAATGCAGTATCGCGGTTCACACTAAACTTCTTTTCGGTAGACTGTAAGAAAAAAGTATAGATATAATGCGTGACGAACGATAATAACGACATTTTTATTATCAATTGATTATCAAATCTGGTGGATAGCACGATGATAAATATCAAACTACAATGATCTATGATATTTATATTTAATTCTTTGTCACAGATTGCTTTTTTTATATTCAAAGCAAGTATATAAAAAATGCAAGATGTAGATATAATAATATATATTTGATTAATGTATTATTGTATAGTTTATCTATATTATTATTATTCTATCTAATATTATTATGCAGTTTTTCTATTCATATATAATTTAAAAAGACTTTGCATTGTTTCTGTTAGATTAAACCTGTAATACAAGTTATCTTTCTTTCTATGAAAGCTTCTATTGGATCATATAGTACGAAAATAGAACTGATATAAATTATGGGTTATATGCATTGTACACAGTATCAAGATATATATTTACTGATCGACGAACGCGCCCTAATGCCGTCAAATAAATCATTCAAAATGCATTTTGCTGCTTTTATTGTTTTTAACCATAAAAAATAGAGAAATTTATCGTGCCATATAAATATTTTTGCAATACTTTTATTCTTGTGAATTTTTGTAAACCATTAATTAATATCAACTTCGATAACTAAAAAGATATACTTTACAAATTTAATTTTGAAATAAAAGGTAAAATATTTGTCCACTTTATTTCTGTACTAAGATGAAATGTTTATTAAAATTTCGTATATCGTTCCATACATACATGTTAAAAATTTTGACATAGAATGCAAATGTACATACATGCTAACTAAGTAAATGACTTCAGGCACAATTTTTTTTTTTCTGGGAAATTGAGTTTTTTTTTTTAGAAATTTGGTGATTTAGAGAGAGAAAGAGAGAGACGAGAATGGCTCCATTTGTGTATACAATCATCGGGTTTCAATATACAATTATTGTATACATAGAATTGAATAACTTATAATTGTATTTCTGTGTGTATAATTGTTATCAATAATAATTTCTTTGCAAAAAGCTCATGTTTTATGCATCTTACTGCTATACGTATGTGCATACTTATCGCTTCGTTTACACTTTCACAATCGCGTTATCTTTTGGATAAAAGATACAATATAAAAAAAGATATTAGGGACATGAATAATTTATGTCTTACACATATCCAAGAGAGAGATATACACTTTACATGCGACAATTGCGTGAGAATGCTATATGCTTAAGCAAAAGCATCAATTTTTGTATCCGGAAAAATGTAAGAGATTCTTGCTCATTTTTAATTAAAAGCGAAAAATGCAACAGAATATAAATTTTAATAGTCTTACAATACTTGTCCTTTGTATGATTGGACAATAAAATAATTTACAAAGTGAAAATAGACAGCACGTTTTATGCACGTATATATACAAAACAATATTAATATATCTGTATAGCTCTTTATCACAAATTCATGTTATAAAAGCATTCCTCATATATAATATTTCATAATTAAAGTAATACTTATTACACATGGAGTTAAAGAATTGTAGGACTCTATACGGACGCTAGAATGGAAGACTTAAAGGCGATTGCCTTCAAGCATAAATATGTTTTGCTATAATATACTTTAAGTAATTACTAACAAAGAGTGGTTCGGTTTATAATACACACGATTTATATGAATCTTACACGAAGTCGGCAATTTATTTACAGGACGCAATAAGACTCGAAGATTGTCTTTATTAATGAATCCCTATTTATAAAAATAGTCATGCACGTGAAAATTTATAGAGATTTAGTTTTTTCGGAAAATCAGCGTAAAGCGAATGAAAATCCCGCGGTGCAGTATACATTTAGGTGTACGTGTGTGCATTAATCTATACAATATATTTTTAACAACATTTTGGCATCGCACAGTGTATGTTATAAAAGCATTCCTCATATATAATATTTCATAATTAAAGTAATACTTATTACACATGGAGTTAAAGAATTGTAGGACTCTATACGGACGCTAGAATGGAAGACTTAAAGGCGATTGCCTTCAAGCATAAATATGTTTTGCTATAATATACTTTAAGTAATTACTAACAAAGAGTGGTTCGGTTTATAATACACACGATTTATATGAATCTTACACGAAGTCGGCAATTTATTTACAGGACGCAATAAGACTCGAAGATTGTCTTTATTAATGAATCCCTATTTATAAAAATAGTCATGCACGTGAAAATTTATAGAGATTTAGTTTTTTCGGAAAATCAGCGTAAAGCGAATGAAAATCCCGCGGTGCAGTATACATTTAGGTGTACGTGTGTGCATTAATCTATACAATATATTTTTAACAACATTTTGGCATCGCACAGTGTATCAATTGCTCGGTGATTACAAGCTGCATAAATATTTCTTTGCAGCATATGTAGCACAATACATATGTATGGAGCTATCTTGTATTTCGTATATATAATGCAGTAAAAATATATTTTTATATAAATCCGACAGCAAAATAAAAGATTGTAATCTCTGGACAGAAATTGCAGATATGTTATACTACCGTTTACCATCCGGTATACTATACAACATGCTATTAAAAGCTAAGAATATACGCTGTTAATTCGTTTCCTCTCGATCGCGCACATTGATTGGACTTTACAGTCGCTCTACTACAGTCTCTCTCTATTATAAGTTCAACCATTACAATACTCTCTGACTTTCGAGTAATAAAATATAAAAATAATAATAAATCGTAATTGCTCTTTTCCGCAAACGGCATTCTGAAAATTCAAGGGAACTTCAGATTATATTTTAATTCTTATAGACGTAACCAGTCGCGTACAATATAAGACTATCTTATATTTAAAGTTCTAATCGGTATAGGTACAAAATATTAAATTATATCATACTCAAGTCAATTAGTGGCATATGATACACAATTACATTAATGGTATCTCACAATTTGACCTTGATCATGTAGCGTAAGATGTATGATACAAAAATCGTATCTTTTCCTCTTTTTCTTTTTCTAGTGAGCGTGTGTTCCTGGACAATTTTTAAAAGATTTAATTGAGTACTTCACGAAATAAATATTTCATACATAGCTGTCAGGTTTAAATCTTTTTTATAGCAATGTTATGGCCATAGGAGTATCATCACTTTGCAACTCTTTATTATGCATATGAAATAATATTAATGAAGATAATTATGCAACACATGTCTATCTGTGTATGTGTGTGTATATATATATATATATATAGAGATTGTAAATGTGGAAAGCATAAAATAAAATTGCAATGATATATATATATATATATATATATATATATATATATACATAAAGAATATTAAAAAGATGTGATATATATATGTGTTAGGAAAAAAGTAAGAAAAAATAAAAAAAGAGGCTTGATATCAAGTTAATTTCTTTTTCAATTTTGATAGAATATAGACAATGTGATTACATAAATCAAACTCAATTATTGACTGAATATAATCTTATGAAAATAAAGATGTAACCCTGATATCATGGCTTATCTTTATCTCGCGTATTATCTAAAATTGTAAATTGTAAATGGAAGTAACGCCATATAAAAGCAATGATTTAGACTAATTTATCATGCTTTTCATTCCTAATAAGTTATAAAGGCCGATTTGCTAATGTTTATGCTATTATATACTTATTATTATGTGTGTAAATGGTGTTCTTCTTATGTATATATGTACTATATTATCCAAAATACACAAGTCATCCATGTATCAAATTTGATTCCAATTAATCAAGTGTCGAAAACTCTTTTATATAAGCTAAATGTTATATAATATTGTTATATATAATATTTAAGAATAAAAAGGAAGAGAATTCAAAAATTATTCTCTGAATCAAAGCAATGAAAACAAATGAACGGCGTATTTACATTATATAGAACTGTAGCAGACAAAAATATATATAAGAACGTTATTATGTTATATATAAAAAGGTATATAATTTTTATTTTTAAATTCCATGATAATTTTATGCGATAATTTTTCGATGTAGAGAACAGCGAGATAGGCAGAAAGATAAAAAAGATATATACTTAAAAATAATTTGAACATACTAAGATAATATGCATTATTTTGCTTTGGCTTGCAAATTTTTAATTAGCGTACTCTGAACGAATATCGATGATTTTAGGGTGAACCATGCTGTATATTTTCGCTTTTTAGAATGTTACTAGGAAGTCAGCCATAAATTTGATTCTTATTAACTTCAGTCAATATATAAAATGCTTTGGATAATGAATCGTTGACTAATATATATCACAAGTTATTTTCTTTCCTATATAAGGACAGTACAGATAATGCTACGACTATATATATATAAAACGACTTTTCTTTTCTCACCGTTTGCTTCGTCAATGCGCTTCATTCTCGTATGCTTTATTATATCCACATTACAAGGTCCCAGACAGTAGAATCTTTGCATAAGCAATAGAAATATATTCATCAATATATGACAAACAAGATTATAATAGTTCTAGTTTTTCTTAATTAACGGTATAATATAATTAATCGAATTAATCGAAGATCAGGAATTATTTCAATTAAGAACAAAAAAAGCCGATAAATATGAAATTTGTTTTCTATTAAAATGCCTCTCGATTCTCTAATGCGTAGATAATAAGAATAATGCATTAGAAATTACAATGAATTGAGAGGTATCTAAATTTTAGAGTACATATATACAGAGAGAATCTTCCGGTTATAAGACCGATTTTCGTTATGTAAGATCGCGCTTACTCTCCTCTTTTTTTGAGCGAGTCCCGAATCATATCCGATGTCGAAAGCTAAAATAGCCGACATCGTAAAATATCGTTTTATCTTGCTCACTCTCCCGGATGAGCTGCTGGCAAGATTCATAAAATTTCCTGGAAGGTATAAAAGATCCGCGCCCCAAAGGTAAGATAATGGCCGATCTAGTAACGGTCTTATAACTAGGAGACACTGCAATAATTAAATTTAGAAATCTAAGTTTTTGTGATTGCAAACGAAATCTGTAACTGAAATGTAAATCTAAATCTGTAACTGAAATGTAAATCTGAAAATCCATTATGGTACAACTTAGTGATACATATAGTACATGCAATATTTAGACATCTAACTCAGACAGTATAAAAACAGTTTGTAAAGATGTATATAATAAATCAAATGTTTTCCACGATAATTAAACAGAAATGTAACACAAATCTAAACAATTTTTTTTTAAGATAATTAAAATTGATCGATAATGTAATAATATTGCCAAAAATTTTACATACCTTTAAGATCTGAACATTAAATCATGTGTCTGTGTTGAGATATATCCGCATGTATATCCGTATATATTTAGGATAAAATAGCAATGCTACGTCTAGGTCCACCTATGCATACATTATCTAAGCTGGACCATTTTTTAATACCGGTACGTAGAGCTTCGGCTGTAACCTTATCTTCGTAAACTCTGGACATAGCTTCTAGCTTCTGTGCCTTTTCTTTACTAAGAGGTTCGCTAGGGAATGTTAATTCGTTTGCTTCTGCAAGTGTACGAAGATCAAAGTAATATTTGGCATATACACTTGAAGGAACATTTATGTTGAATTGCAGCATCTCCAGAAATTGTCTCTCTAATTCATTCCTAGATAAAAAATGCAGAATAATTCAATTAAGACAACAATTGATAATTATATTTTGTATTTTTCGCATTTCTATTTCTTTTATTTTTGTAAAACATAAAACAAATGTATAATAATAATACGAATAAAAATAAACTTACATATCTTCCACTGTGATATCTTTCAGTATTTGACAATAGTCTACATTCCATACTGCTTGATCGTCCCAAACCTTAGATGCTAATAAAATAGCACCTAACACTATTCGTTTCCAATTAGCTGGCGTTATATCAATTTCTGCATAAGTAAGTAGGCGCTCAAGATAAACCAGTGTTATGATGGCACATTCAGCTGTGAGCTGAGCGGCGTTAAACAGAGTCCTTATAAATTTATATATTTGTTTGTGCTCTGGATTGTGTTTATCGTAATCCTCTGAAACACCATCTCTCTGAAAGATTTATTATATAAATTTAACTTTTCAAATATTCTATTCTCAGAATATATCGCACAAGAAAAATTTTTACAGGTACTCTAATTCACATTTAAATATGCAAGCGATAATAAATAAATAAGAAAATATAGATAAGATAGAGATCTGGTGATCTCTGTACAGGCATCTCTATAATGTAATATTAAATCTCAGTTTTTAAATTACCGTCAATGGGTGTAGCTTTTCATCAAATATATCAATTTGTCGCTGTGAAGTTCTATTCTTAATATGATAATAAACAGCTAAGGCAACACATTTGACGGTATTTTTCAAATTAGGTTGTGAAACTGTGCTGTCGTCTAGATATATTGTACTGCAGCTACTACTCTTCTTCAAAGGCCTTGTATCCGCTATCTGATGTTGGCTCTTTTTCCTCACCATGCCGTCTATATATATTAACAGGATCACCAATACGTTCGTTTTATTCCAATTTAATTTCTCTTTCTCGCAATTTCCAGGATATACCAACTTTCTATAGCCTGTTTCGAACGTTCCATAAAAATAGTTCCCGCGCACGGATGCAATGACGGATCGGAGTCCCAGTCTTCCGGCTCGCGTTCACTGATATGTTGCAAATTATTAACGCTGATCCCGCCCTCCGGCAAGTGTTCCTCCAGATTGCGCGTGGCACTCTCGGGCCCAATCTCCTTGCGTCCGACTTGCGGACTGGAGTACACGCAGCAGCTATTCTTGTTCCCCATGTTGCCATGTAAATTTTAGTTATTACCGGCCAGTGCTCCTGCTCTTCCACTTGGCGCGCGAGTCCCACTCAAGTCACTTAATGCATGCGGAGGAATCAGGCCGCGAATAATTGTAATCGTGATGCGTACGTTCGACTAGAGAAGAATTAGCTCGCACTACCTCACATCTCGTTGTTTAATAACGATCAGCTGACGGGGCCGTTCGTACGACTGGTAGCGCGACTCGTCCGCCCGCTCGTCTGACTCATGTCGGCGCGAACGGCTCGCCAAATGATCCGTGATGTCGAGCCCCTCGCAATCGCGACGATTCACCGCTCCGTTTCTCGCCGAGAAGAGGAGAGCCCTCCGTATCTCCGAGGAGAGACGACTGTTTATCCGGAGACGATCGTCAGAGAACGAGACGCCTCGGAGCCACACCGGCCGATCTTACGATTCCCGGTCTTACGGTTAACAAACCTAGTAAATTACACGATCGTCCGTAGCCGCGATTCGTAACGCGGTTCATTGTCGCCGCACAATAATTCCATTCTCGTCGCGCGTTTACCCCCCTTGGGACGCTCGGTTTCGCTCGCGAAAGCGCTCCCACGAATTGCACACAACCCAATTTTCCGTTCCCACCGACTTCCAACTTCCACTACGATTGCACGGTCTGTTCCTTATAGCTGAACTTTCTGCACTAGTGTACACTAGTGACACCGAAGCGTGGCTCGTCTATCTATTTCATCTATTTTATTTATGACTTTATTGGTCCAGTAATCAGTAACCAATAACGGAGCAACGTTGCAACAATCGGTAAAATGGCGAGATACGTAGTATGTTGACATTTACTTAAAGAGCTCCTTGGTAGAAATTGGGGTGTAGGGAGACCTTTAAAAATCTGTCAACGTACATATTACAATTGCCCGTTATCGATTATACTTGCGAAGCAATGTACTCGATCAGTGCCGGTTTATCGAGTTCCGCGGATGTAGACGACGTTACGATCCCGTTGGTTAAACGTGATCAAAGCTGCCAAGCGACCGACGAGAGCACCGGCGAACCGTGCGGCGAAACCGAGGGTCTGCGTATTCTCGATGAATTTCGCAAATTGTACGAGAGTCGCATCGAGAAGGTCGATCAGGAAACCGGCGGCGAGTCTGATCGGGTTTCCGTAAGCAGCATTTCTTATCGCAACGGAATTCGTTTCATGCATGCCGTTTCGTTCGATTCTTTCGTCTCGTCTTTTGTACGATATTCCAAGTGCTTCAGCTGCAGCTTAAAAACATCAACTTTTGTTTGTATTCAATGCGTAATCGAAACATTATACACTTTGCAGATGAAGCTGCAGATAATGAGCGATTGGATCAAGGATTTAGGAGAACAAAATACTATGTTAGTGCACACGGTTGAAGATTTGGAGCAGGCCACGTGTAATAGAGTAAAATTATTAGAAGAAAAATTAAAACAATCATCGCAATTAGTTGTAGATAATTTGACAAGATCAAGTCATTCTGAAAAGGTAAGAGAGAAAGAGATTATTTAGTTTTATTAGATTATTACAATAGCTTTTTGATAGTTAAAAAATATATGTAAACATATATACCTGTATTATAGGCTTTAAATACACTTTCAAATCGTGTCAGTCAATTGGAAAAGGATGAAGAATATCTGCAACAGAAAATAGAATATCTGCAAAGTGACATTAGAGGATTATTAGAAGTGATTCGTCGCGCACGTCAGCAAAATATTTGGAATCTCGATGGTATTACATTCTTTGAGATTCAGCCCGAGGATATTCCAGTTTCAGAGTAAGTCTCACTACTACTATTATCAATCGATTCATTTATGTAATGATTATATTACATTTTTGCAAAGAATTTACTAACACAAATTGTTTTACCATTACAGTTACATCTGCAGTCAGGTAAATATGTGTGTAAATGCAGCCAAAAAGCTCAGACTTGTTTTAGATATAGAGCATGGTAAACTTCAAAAATCAAATTATTTGTGCAAAAGCATATGATGCAATATTTGTACTATATATTTATAATGCAAACTGGAGGCTTCTTCTTTGCTCCCTACACCCTTTATATTAAATTTAATTATTTTATATACACATTTATTTGTATTCAATAAACTGCCAGTTGTTTCATTTAATAGAGTATTATATTTTCAAGAAGTGTGTGTGTGTAATCATTATGTATTACATAATATATTAATATAATGTCACAAATATAACAATTCCTTTTTTGATATGATATTCAATAATGTATTTTTCAAATTAGGAACGGACTGACACTGAACATATAAAATCCTTGAATTTGCAAGTAGAACAACTTCAGGAAAATGAGAAAAAATTGATCAGGTAAGATATGTATACAATTCTTAATATGTACACTAGAAAATATTTGTAATTAGGAACTATTATTATCTTGCTGTTTGGAATTTAATCGATATATCCATCTCTTTTTTTTTTTGCTCGCATACTAATATTAATTTTTTTCTTTTATTTTTTGTATCTACATAGATGCATTATTTTCTAAGATGTATTTTTTTTAGCATATGTTCAGAAGCAATAATACATTTTAAAATTCTTAATTATTTATACAAAAAGAAATGTAGCTTTATTCTTGCTTTCTTTCTTAAGCTCTCTTTTATTTATATATATATATATATGTACAGAGAATAAAAGAGTATTCTTTCAGATCTCAATTGGAACTGGAAGGAAAAGTAGCAGATCTCATGACAGAATTATCAGTGAAAGATGAGACTATAAATAAATACGTTTCTAGACTTCAATGTTTTTGCGAGAAGCTCAAGGAACATGCTAAACAAACAAATGAAGTTATTAGTCATCCAATGATAAATGATCAAAATTGCGATGTAAGTTTATTTTTCATAATTCTTGTATACAGATAGAAACTCATTCTGATATCTGTTTTCATATTTTAAGTATTGATTTTTATAGAGTAATGTAGAGGCAATCATGTTGTAATAGTACCAGTTAGGAAAAGAAAAAAAAGAACTATTTTATTACAATGTTACAATAATTGTTCTATCTAATGTATTCTAAATTTTACATTTTGCAAGCAAGACAACGTTATTCATGTTTTTCAATATTGAAGCAAGAGACTCTCTTATTTTAAATTTACATTGCTGTTCAGATTATCTTAACACCTGACATTCTGGAAAGTGTATTAGATGTAAAAGATTCAGAAAACAGAAACTTACGCAGACAACTCCAGGATGTTGAATCTAAGCTTATGGTGTACACTTATGAAAACAATATGGGTACAACCAATCTACAAGTACAACTGGAAGAGAAAACTAAAAAAGTACAACAATTGGAGGACAAAGTGGCACGTCTCGAAAAAGTTAGTTTATCACATTAAAATATCTGTCTTTTATATTATTAATATATTATATTTTTTGAGATTTTTTTTTTATTTGAATTATTGAATTATTTATTGAATTTATTTATAAAATATGATTTTTAGTTATTTTAAATTTATTTTATTATAGTATATATTTTTTATTGATTTCAGGAAGCTGTGGAAACGCGAGATACACTGACGGCGGAGATCACTGCATTAGAAAAACAAAATTACCATGCGAATATAGGGAATCTTTTGAAGGATGACTTAATTAAAGAGATGCGTAAGGAACTGAAGGAAGCGACTTCAGAGGTACAACATAAATCCATAAAGTTTTAAATATAAATTCATCATTTTTTTACACATTTGTAGAAGGGTCGCTCCACTTTTACTCGCGTCTGTAATTCTCGTAATCGTGTTGCTGTTATCACTAAGATGAAACCTTCCCACGAATCCTCCGAGCAATTTCCAGTGTCAAGTGTCCTACATATATCCGCGCAGCAAAAGAACGATATGTCATTTCTGTATGATGACTCTAAAAACCTGTTAAATTATGGGAGACAAAACGTATCAATAATCAATGCAAAATCACAAAACAAATTGCTTAATCTACATAGCCATTCTCGAGACCATATAGATATTCAAGCTGCTCGATACAAATATTTGAAGAATATCGACAGGAAAATTTTACAGACTGCTAGAAAATTATCACCTCCTTGTAAAGATAGCAATTTGCAAGATAGAATCATGGCGAATACTTATGTTTGTTCGGCCACATCGTATCTTCAAGATAAAACTAATAATATCTCGAAGTAAACTGAATTGGATTTAAATGTAAATTGCTGAACCAAGGCATCTTAATACATTTTTAATAAATTTTATATTTTTTGTCTTAAATATTTAAATTTTTTAACGAATTTGCGATGAATTGGCGTTCTCTGATGAGAGTTCTTAGAATTAACTGCTAAGAAACATGCAAAACAAAGCAAATTCTAACATTTATATTGATCATTATTCTTTCAACAGAGAAAATCTCTATATTCTATAATAAGTATTATGTATGATATAAAATAAGTTCATAAATTCTTAAATCAATAAATTATTGGATATTTAGATCTTTGATAAATATATGCAGCCATCTGTGAATTGATATGCATTTATGTAATTAATGGTTTATATATTATTAACGTTTTTAAAATAGTTTACAAATTTTATTCTTTACAACATCATCCGTGAAAAACAAAAAATCGTATATAAACATGATTGCCTCATTTATAAAATTAATAGATTTTGAATTAGTCGTTTTTATATATTGTTACACATTTATAATAGATATATAATTAATGTTAAGATGTACTTAACAAAAGTCATGAAACAAAGCAATCACTCTCATAAATTGTTTAATCAACATATTTTATTTATCTATTAATATATATAGTTGATAGTAACTGAAATCTAGGAAATGTATATTTTTTATTTTACAAATCACATCTCTCATATACATAATAATTTACATAAATTTAATAACTCATAAATAAATGCTATGTTTCTTAACTTTTATTGCAATAGGTGTAGGTCATAGTAAATAATACAATATAAATATTATTTGTATGCTCGAGTTTGGCCAACATATATTTATACTTTTTCATGTAATTTCAGGATGCCTCTTCTCGGAAAGTCCGCATTGATACAAATAATTTCCCAGAGGTGAGTCAAATCAAATGTAATCATCACACATAACATGATCTTGGAATGACAATATTGTTCCGTTTTCAGAAATGTCCTCTGCCTTGGATAGATATCTCGCATTCTAAGAAGGTTCGTCTATATAATGTTGCGTATCATATTTTTGCATGCATATTTAAAGAAGAATATCTTTCTTTGTGTATAAATAAAAATTTATATATTATTATTGTTATTTTTGTTTCCAGGATGAATTTATATCATTTCTGAATAGTACAAAAGCGCATGTGCAAAAAGAATGTGAAATTTTGTCGGATATAAAGCTTGAATTGGGGAAATTTATAGAAAAATTAACTGTAGAGACTAATGAGGTAAAAAAGCAAGATATTATTATTTTTTCAAATATTGTAACAGAGTAAACATTACAACAAAATATCAACCAGGGGTTTTTTTTTCTTTTTTTTTCCGATTTATTTTAAGAGCATACACTTTTAATTTTTTTACTCTTCCTCTTAAAAGAATATATTTTTCTCAGGTCAATGATTGTATTATATCTAACAATTGTATG